CCAGGCCAGAAGTCGACACCTCCTTTCTTGAAGTTGACGCCTCCTGTCTCGAAGTCGACAGAAGTAGACGTCTCCAGCCCCAGCTCTTAGGTCGACGTCTCCCCGTCTCAAGTCTCGACGGCCATGTCACAAGTGTTCCAGTCCCCAGTGTTCCAGTCCCCAGTGTTCCAGTCCCCAGTGTTCCAGTCTCAAGAGTCCCCTGTGTTCCAGTCCCCTGTGTTCCAGTCTCTCGAGTCCCCTGTGTTCCAGTCCCCTGTGTTCCAGTCTCAAGTGTCCCGGTCTCAAGAGTCCCCTGTGTTCCAGTCTCTCGAGTCCCAAGTGTTCCAGTCTCTGTCTGTGTCTCTTTGTGTTCCTCTTGTGTCCCCTGGTCTTCAGCCCTCCAGATATTCCCTCTCAGGTCCTGTGTTCCTTCAGTCTCCCCACCATAATTTCCCTAGATATATTATTCCAGGTGTGTGTGTGTGTGTGTGTGTGTGTGTGTGTGTGTGTGTGTGTGTGTGTGTGTGTGTGTGTGTGTGTGTGTGTGTGTGTGTGTGTGTGTGTGTGTGTGTGTGTGTGTGTGTGTGTGTGTGTGTGTGTGTGTGTGTGTGTGTGTGTGTGTGTGTGTGTGTGTGTGTGTGTGTGTGTGTGTGTTCATGTCCTCCTCCAGCTAGGTGTGTGTGTGTGTGTGTGTGTTCATGTCCTCCTCCAGCTAGGTGTGTGTGTGTGTGTGTGTGTTCATGTCCTCCTCCAGCTAGGTGTGTGTGTGTGTGTGTGTGTGTAGCGAATTAAACTTGTCATTTGTTTTAAGGACAACGGAGCAAAGAAGCATTTTTATTAAGCTTAGAGGTGAAGAGTGAAGCTGTTGACACACAACCACAGAAGTTCTGCTGTGAAAAGTAGTTTTACATTCAGGGATTTACACAGCTGACACGTTATAATGAAGTAAAAAGTTTGTGTGAAGAATAAAAGTTTTATCTTCTCATGTGGATAAATGTAAAAATGTGTTTATTGCCTTTTTGTCACCTGTGGTCTGATTTTCTCTGTAGGACTGCAGGTGTCCAGGGTCAGGAGAGGCTTTACCTGGTGGTCCTCCTGGGAGAGAGGCCTTCTACTGTCATCATGTTAATGTTATTTAGCTGTTTGATATTTGAACACATTTATTAAAACAAATACTAACTGATAACTCTTTCTGGTCAATGATTTTATCACCAGTTTTATTATTACAGATGTTTTTGAACATGTTACATGAACAGAAAATGAAAAGATGGTAAGGAGACAAGATTATTTATAATAGGTTAAACTCATTTACAGATCAAAACCAGTATGGACCAGTTATGTACGGTTAAAGCAGGATTAACCTGAGTGACTCTTCCTGGATCATTTTTTTAAAATGAGTGAGCAGGAAGTCTTTAACAGTGCAGCTGGATCTGCTGCAGGAGGATCCAGACGTGGATGGAGGGCTGGAGCAGACCCGTGGCTGGACGTTTCTGGCCAGAGGATCATCATACAGGACGGTCTGCAGAGAGAGCTTTGGGACGCTTCCTCTCACTGTCCACTCCATCGTCCATCTACAGGGCCTGCTGGGCTGGCTCAGACGACGGCTGTTACATCTCTGTGAATGACTTGCCTGTTAACAGTATTGGTGGTCTCTTGGTATCTCCTCCAGGACAGAGCACCACTGACCTCCTCCACACACATCTTCCTCACGCTCATCCTCCAGACCCACAACTTCACCAACACAGATGCAGATGTGCAGCACAGTGCATGCTGACTTGTTATAGATTAAAAAAGAGTTTTTTTAATTGAAAAATGTAAAACAATACCTATAACCTGCAGTACACTGGTTCTGTTCAGGTTAAAGAAAAGCAGCAGGGAAAACTACAGAGAATTTACATTTTTAAGACAGATCTAATCATTATTAGACTTAAGTTGAATAAACAAATGCACATTGAAAACAGTTCAATGCTATTTTATTAAAAAGCCTGTTTTTTAAAACGTTTTACCCTCATTTGATGCAAAATAAGTTCTAAGGTCCAATTTACATTACAAAACATCCTGCTGCATTCAACATTTATAATGCATTTGGTTTATATTAATTACCTACATGATAATACTCTGTAGTAATGTGTTGTGTACGTTTAACAAGTTCATTCTGTAGCTTAAAACATACATGAAACAATCTAAAGTTAACATGTAAGTCCTGAAAGCTTCTAGAATAAACAAAATTACTTTACCTGAAAACGTTTGTGAACAAACGCTGCTGATGGACGTGAAGCTGCTCTAGCTCCTTAATATTCCTGCTCCATTTTCGCTAGCTTTAGCATTTTTCCTTTGCGTGTAGCTGCCGCCGCGGCTGTGACGGGACCTATGGGCCACCGTAGAGGTGAAGGCTAGACTGTCCGAATTCAGAGCCGCTGGGTTCCGGTCTTAGCGGTCTGGCACGGACCCGGCCTTGCTAGACCGGCGAGGACCCGTACTCGTAAACATCCTGCCTGTGGATTCGGACACACCCGCTGACTGCTCTTTCACATAACCACGTTCGGCAGAACAACTTCTGGTTCCAAAAGCCAACGGATCCCTCATCCAATCAGTGATGCCTGTTGTTGCAGCATTGGTACCTACCTTTTCCGGTTTGGTTTTGTTTTTGTGGTTTTCAATTTGTTGTGCGTTTTGTGATTTGTTTTTGCATTAAGTGATTTGTTGTTGCGTTAAGTGATTTGTTTTTGTGGTTTGCACTTCAGGGCCACCGTAACTGTGAGACAGATGGACCTGGACAATAGAGAGCATCCCCCTTTTGAAGTTGAAGACCTAACCAAAGGCGCAGAAGGTGCAGGCGGAGGTACAGGAGCGGCCGGCGCAGGTGGAGGCAACTGGGCAGCCGGAGCTTCACGAACCACCGGTACGAGAGCTCGAGCTAGGCGGCCACCGACGTTGCGGACCGAGTCCCCTAGAAAGGTCAGCCATGCGGAGAAGTGACAGAACAGGAGCCATGACAACCTCAAAGACAAACAAAGGTTTAGGCATGCAGTGAATAATACGACAGAATCAGCGGAGGACTAGGAGTAAGACACTGGTTGACACCAGAGACCAGGATCTGCCAACAACTCACGAGCAGAAGAAGAAGAAAATATATTTTCTATAGCGCCTCTCAAGATAAAAATCACGAGGTGCTTCACAAAAACAAAAAATGTAAAAATATAAAAAAGAATTTAGAAAATGATTAAAGATATATTTAAAATTAGCAAAAAATAGACAAGTGTGATTAAAAATGTAAAGAAAGAGAGAGAGTGAACAGGAAAGAGGGAAATCAGTGGATCCTGAAGAAGGTGGAATAGGTAGGGAGAGCAGAAAAGGAGAGGGTGATGAAGGTCACACAAAAGCCAACCTGAAGAAGTGAGTTTTCAGCTGCTTTTTAAACGAGACCACTGAGTCCACTGATCTCAGGCTCGGGGGAGCCACAGCAGCAGATGATCTGTCACCTTTGGTCTTTAGCCTGGTGCGTTGCACAACCAGTAGGCTTTGATCACTGGACCTCAGGAACCTGCTGGGGGTGTAGGGACTAAGAAGATCACCAATGTACGATGGTGTTTGTCCATGTAAGGCCCTATAGACCAGAACCAGGTCGCGCCAAGATTCCTGACGGAAGGTTTGGTGTGGGAAGCAAGCTGACCAAGAGAGTCTCTGACTTTGGGAACCAGCTTGTCTGGGGCACAGATGAGGATCTCAGTCTTATCTTCATTCAGCTGAAGAAAGCTCCCACCATCCAGGTTTTGATAGAGTCTAAGCAGGTGTGTAACAGCTGCAGCTTAGACATCTCATGGGGAGATATACAGTTGGATATCATCTGCATAAAGATGGTAGGAGATTCCTTTGAAGGAGCTCAGGATGTGCTGAAAAGGAAGCAGATAGAGGAGGAAGAGCAGAGGTCCCAGCACAGAACCTTGTGGGACACCAAGGGTAAGAGCCTTTTTCATCTTCCATCCCCTTTTTACATTCTGAGCCAAAGTATGCATCAAAAAGAAGTAGGTAGAAAGCTTGTGGGTCTTCAGAATGACCTTGTTTGACTGACAAAGCTAACAATTATATTCTCTTCTAATTGCAGCTTCCAGCTGGTCGTAATCATTTGCAATCGCATCTTGCTGGCGATCAATGAATGAACCCACTGCACTGGAGGTTAACCTTATCAGAAAGATCTTGTCCTCGAGAGGCCCTCCAGGAGATCTCTGAAAATGGTGTTGAAGGTCTCTAAGATACTTATCAATTGGGTATGAATTACCTGGTCGAGGATTGAATCTCTTGACGCTATGAGACGTCCTATAGATGTCAGCCATGGTCACAGGTGAATGTGGTTGGGCTGGCTGGAAAGCTGGCCCAAACATCGCAGCAGCAGGTGGATAATGTTGTGCTGCTGGTGGGTAATGCTGTTGAGCAGCAGGAAGGTGTTGTAGAGCTGGTTGGAGAGCTGGTACCATCACCGCAGCAGCACCGGCAGGTGCAGCAGGTGGGTAATGTGGGGCTGGAGGCCCTGGTGGGTGTGATTGAACTGGCTAGGGAGCTACTTCAGCCACACCACCAGATGGAGCAGTGGTGCTGGAGGAGGTGGGTGTGGCGCAGTCGGCTGAGGAGCCGACACAACCACGCCAGCCGCGACGGCAGTGGCGGGTGGAGGAGCAGGTGAAACGGGGAGGGTTGAAGGGGTCCCCCTTCTTTCTCCAGTGAGCTCAGAAATCTGTGATTTTAAATCAGTAATTTTATTTAAATTTTTTAAAACATTTATTAAGTACTTTAATAGGTTTGTGGTTAGGCATTTCTATACAACAGAGACAAAGCTGTTTGGATGTGGGGAAACATCACATTGAAGCAAAACGAGTCAAAGACACAGATTCTGCAATTGTTCAGAAAGATATCAAATTAAGATTTTCTTTATTCCATAATTTAATTTCTTTCTGAGCCACGTTGTACAAATTAACAAATATTAGAGCAAAAGGAAAACTGATCTAAGCTCAGAAACTAAAGCCTGGCCAAGTGGGACGGAGATGTTTCCCATCATCGCCTCTGGTTCAGTCCTGTGAGATTCTTCAAAGTGACAGCAGCTCCCGTGAGCCCCTGCACCACAGCTTCACCAGTCGACTGGACCTGCTTGGCTGTGGTGGCCATGTTGACTAGATCCTGAATGCGATTATCAAGGAAGGTCCAGGTGTCCTGAAAGTCCGGAGAGGAGTCCTGAAGCATCACCAGCTCTGTGGTGTTATAGATGCCCGTCAGAACGGCCCGTTTAGTGTACCAGTTCATGTCTGTGGACCGGTCTCCAGCATAGTACCAGATGTTGTCTACCATGGTGGAGAGGTGCTTCAGGCTGTCAGGGATGCTGTGAGGAAGGAGCAACACGCTCATCGCCTGTGGCCATGTTTCGATGTAGGGCATGTACCTGTACATCCGCAGCCGGGTCTCTATTGCATCTCTGAGAAACTTTGCCATCTTCTTTGGTTCAGCATGGCCCTGCTGGACCTGATTATGTTGTTCTGCCAGATTTTCCGTTAGCTTCGAGTTACAC